TTCCTGCTGTCCTTGAAATACTCGCACAAGCTGCTTCTAGGAGACAAAGAGCCAACAGTGGGTGGTGGGTGTTTTCAGGAGCTGGCCTGTGTCTGCTGGGGAGCCGCACGGCCCAGGAGCACAGCCTGTGCTGTGATACTCACGGGGCTGGGTCCTCGGGGTGGAAGGGAATCGTCAGGGAGAAGCAGGCCTCCTCGTGATAAGCACCCGCGAGACCCTGTCTGTCTCCATAGTCATAGATCAAGTAGTACCTGAGGGGGAGCAATGAGGACAGTCTATCTCTGTGGTCCGGACCTCAAATGGACTTGAAAACTCCCCTGAGCAGACCTGTGCTTAGGTGGCCTCAGCTGTCCTAGCCCTCCCCCCATTGCTCAGCTTCCCAGAGGTACTTACTGCTGCAGGAATCGCAGGACTAGGTTCTTCAGCTCATCAGATCCAAAGTAGCTTCCCTGGAATCAAAACAGTCCTCAGGACCATGGCTGACACCCCCTTCTCAGGCACCACTTAAAACCCGGCTTGATCCTCCGTCCTCACCTTGCAGGTTGGTAAGCGCTTGCAGGCTTCAGTACCACACTTAGCCAGTGGGGATGTCTCCCGGCCATCCTGGGGAAGAGAAGAGGTTGTCAGCAGTGCAGACCAGGAGGTGGTGCTGGATGATCAGGGAAAAGGATGGGCCCAAGAGAAGGTGAGGGCCAGATGTCAGTGGTGAAAGGGCCCTGGAAATTCCTTGGGCACGACTACAGTTTGGGTCATCACCGTGGGTTCCCCAAAGCCTGTGAAGAATGTGGTTGAAGAAGATCCAGAGCGATTGTCAGGTTCCCACAGGGACTGTACCATCCCCCTCCGCCCAGGACTTTTAAGGGTCAGTTTCAAAACTGTAACTGGGGCAAGACCTAATGGGGTTCAGAGTAGTTTGTGGGTGCTGTCAGTGCCAGTTAGAGGAGTCAGTGAACAAGGAATACACTTACCAAGGTTAGTAACTTGGAGAACAATTCCAGGATGGAGCTGCCAAAATCAAGACAAAACAGAAAAGTCAGTGAAACGGTGGAGGTGACCCTCTTCCTCATGGGGGCAAGTACACCCACACCACAGTGTCCCAGGCTTCCAGGGCCCTGAACACGTCCCCCATCGACTGACACCGAGGGAGAGCAGGCCCTACCTCCCTCCCCGCCTTCCTCCCTCCCTTCCTCTCCTTCTCCTGGGTAGCTCCCCCAGAGACTGCCTGGACTCCCTTCTCCAGTGCCACAAGGACCAGCATTTCAAACCCATGCTGCAGGGCTTCCTTCCCCTCCCTTCCTTCCTCCAGGGCCCCACTGAAGGCTGTGGAGAGAAGAGGGAATGGGGTGTGTGCCCGAGGCTCTGCTACCTCACTGGCGGTCCAGCACTCTGCCAAGACCTGGACTCCCCCCATGGATGGCCCAGGGTCCTGGGGCAGGGAGGTGAGTGAGGTGGGGCTCAGGGAGGGAGATGGAGGCGGATCAAGACAGGAAGGGAGTGAAGGTACGAGGGGATAGATGAGAGAGACATATGGGCCTAGACACAAGGGAGAGAGAGAAAACAAAGGGAAGGGAAAGAAGCTCTCCCGTGGTGGGGGTAAGGGAAGAAGAGAGAAGAAAGGGGAAATGGCGCCCCATTTGCAGCTCTTCACCTGCCCCAGAATGGCTCAGACACAGCACGTAAGAATGTAAAATATGCACATGTTGGGCTGGGGGCCCATTGGATGCTGGTTGAAACTTTGGCAGCTTTGTGATGCAGAGAGGAGAGCATAGGGCCTGTAGTCCTCCCTGAGGTCCACGCCAGCTGCCCCTTGCAAACGGGCACTTTCGGGAGTATCTCAGGCTGCCACCGGGTAACAGAGGATGCATCTGACCTTATGTTGGTTGACTTATCAGGGAAGGTGGTGCACAGGGGGTTTCTGTCTGCACACATCCCTTCTGGCTCCAGCCGCTCACCCTTGTCCATCTCCCCTGCAGACTTCACCTGTGATTATGAGGAGGAACCACATGGGCCAGAGAAACAGAGCCAGGATGGCCGTGCACCCCTAGTCCCTTCCTTTCCTTACAAATCCATTTCCCTTCCTCTGTCACCACCCCATTAGCATTCCCACCTTCCCTTCAAAGATGGAACTGGGTACCACACCTCACCTCAGTGTTGGAGAGGTTCAAGTTCTTGGTGTTGGAAGCATTCGGCATAGTGTTGGGCAGGCCGTGCAGCTGGTAGGGTTTCTTATTGCTCAGGTCCAAGGCCAAAAGCTATGATGAGGAAAGAGTTAGAGTGAGGACCCCAGCAGGGGATACCTGAGACAAATCTGCCTCTTCTACCTAATCTCTCCCACCATCACCACCTGCCCCAACATTGGGTCTAAGGTCCTCACCTTGGGCATATTCCCTGGATGGATCTGCAGGGAGGCGGCCATGCCATTTCTAGGGTTTCGTGCCATTCCAGTATCACGGGTCATCAAGCCTCCAGGAAGACAGGAGGAGGGAAACGGGGGCTGAGAGGCTCCTGGCTGGTACAGCTCCAGCACCAACCCCTCCCCGAGTTACCATTCCTGAGTATCCTTTCCAGCTAGACCCCTCTGCCCTCACCTGCTCTACAGTTACTGCTGTAGCCATACCAGGGTCAGAGCGGACTCTCTGGATGTCAAGAGATTGCTGGGAGGCATCATATTGTTCCTTCACGGGCAGCTGCAGAGTTAGGGATGGGGTTCAGGGGCTCTGAGTCTGAGGTGGTGATCGGGGGCAATAGGTGGGTCTGGCTGTGAGTGCACAGGTTGTGTTGAGTCTGCATTACCTTTATCTGCTCCACCTTTTCTGACCTCAGCTCCTTCAGCACAGAGTGGGGTGCATCACAGGGATCAACAAAGATAGATATCTGTTGAGAACACAAGAGGGGCTGGGTAAGCTCCAGGAAATCTGAGCCCTGGGATCAAGCAAGACCATGCCCCTGTCCTGCCCTCTTGCCCCCAGCTAGCCACGCTCATGCCCTTGATACATACCCTTTCATTAGCCTCGTTGTAAATCTTGCCGTTGACATTCTTCAGTGCGAAGGCAATGTTGGCATTCTCAACGAAGAACTGGGCCTGCATTTTCTCATAGTGAAACTGTAGGGAGAGTGACAAGAGAAGCATAATATGAGACCAGAGCCATTTCTCATCTGGGCCGGCCATCTACCCCGTTTCCTCTCATCGGCCTCAATGCCCTCTCTTACTTCGACTGGGGTGAAGGGGACACTGCATTGCTTCTGAATCAAATTCAGCAGCCACTTCTCATCATATTTAATACCGAAGGGAATCTAGGAGCCAAAGAAATAATTGGGGAAAGAAAAGTGATACAATGTAATCCAAGGTTAAGGTAAGACCCAGCTGTGTCTTGCTTTAGGACCTTTTTTCAGGCTTTAGGTAATTTCTTAAGATAGGACAATATCTGTTATCGCTAACTTTTACACCAGACATGGACTTCCTAAATACCCTTTCTTTCCATTTAAATACTTTTCCTGAAATAATCGACTTCATATCTTTCACATGTACTTACTTTTATAAAGTTCTAAGAGATCCTACCCAAGGCAGACCTGGCCTGCCCCTCTGACGAGGACCCCAGAGACTCAACCTCCTCCCACACTCAGCTTGAGCCAAACTGCGTCTTCTGGTGTGGAGTTGCTCCATCTCCTTGGCAGTAGTTTCCTCCTTTGCTTTTAGACAGCCTCTCCCATGCTCCCTGCAGTCAGTCTGCTCCCTGTACATTGCTTCTCTGAACCTGCCCTCACATGATCTAGGAAGTTAACTCCTAGTAATAACAAGACAGATTACCAACTCCACTGCCACGAGAGAAAAGTTCCCAGCATCTCTACACGCGCCCAACATGACTCTCTCTGTCATCTTCTTCTACATGTTAGGTCCATTTAGCCAGCACACTCACTCTGATCTTGAACCAGCTCCCCAAGGTCTCATCCTGCCTGTTTCTCTCCATTCTTCTCTCTGGAGGCTTTTGCTCTGTCTCCTTGTTAACATGGGTTTCCTCCTGTTCCTGAAAATTGCCTCTCCGATGACAGGATGGAATGGCATAGGGAGCACTGTGGGGAAGTGGAGAGAAGAAAGTGGTCCGTATAGTCTTGGGAAGTCTTCTCTACATTTTCCCCAATGATAGCAGAGCTACAATAAAGATTGCTCAACCGTTAACCTGATCCCATCATTCCTCACTCTTCCAGGTTAGAGAGAAGAATGACATATTTGACTACAAGGTTTTGTTTTTCACTGGTTGATACTTGTCGGCCATGCTGCCTCGTCACTTACTATCTTGCTTGCATGTCCACGTGAGCATCACTTCTTAGTGATTCTCTATCTTGCTGCTGCTGGGAAGTGGCCTGTTGAGACCAATAGTTGTGTCTCCTTCGGTAAATACGCCAGCATCTTGCTCTTCTTTGTAAGGAGGTTACTTGCTTATTGTACCCTGAAATTGAGAATATCACATCAATGGTCTCAGTACCAGAAAAATTCCTGGGTAAATATCATGGCTAATGAAGAAATACCACCAACTTTATAATCTAAATAGGAAATTATCATAGTTAGGAAGAAAAAAAAAGGCTGAGAGACTTCACTGTGTTTCTGCTTCTCAGGAGACGAGAGGTAGGCAGCATTCACAGCCAAGAAGAAAACAAGCACAGAGGAAAGGGTCTGGACCCAGGGTTTAGCCTGTGATGTTAGTCCCTGCTCTGCTTGGATCAGGTTATGTGACCTGGGACAAGTGGCTTTTCATCTCTAACTCTCTCTTCTCTGCTCGGCTCTTGGGACACAATAAAACCTACCCTGAAATCTACCCTGGTGTGATGGCTCAAGGGTCAAAGGTGACCTCCCTGCCTGACGGAAGAATTAGAGATATGAAGGATAAGTCCGACGTAAAGATCCAGAATGGAGCCTGGAGAGACATAACATGGAGAATACCAAAAGCGAGGGGGAGATAATTAAAGGTGATGCAGTGAACATACCTAACACATGGTTAATGTGAGTCCCGGAAAGAACGGGAGGGAACAGTGGAGAAGTGGTATTTGAAGAGATCTTGGTTGAGAAGTTTCCAAAAGTAACAAGATATCAACTCAGTGTAACAGTATTATTGTAATAGGAGAAAAAGTATGCTTTAAGGAAAAACAGTCCTAAAATATGCATTCATTTCATCATCATGTAAGAAAAACTCGGAAAACATGCGACCAGAAGACTCAAACTCAAAGAAATGTTACAGGCTCTTCTTTGGGCAGAAGAAATATCCTCCCAGGTGGAGGCACATAGATACAGGAAAGAAAGACTAATGACATTTGTGAATATGTAGGCAAATTTAAATGAGCGTTGACTATATAACACAATGATAGTAATTTCTTCTGGGGATTTAAATATATAGAGAAGGAAAATGCATGACAATAAATTTGGAGGGAGTATATGGAATCAAAGTGTCTCAAGGTCCCATAATTGTCTGAGGAGTTCTAAAGGGATAATTAACTAATATGAGACAGTGACAAGGCAAAAATGTACATTGTAATCTTAAGGGTAAGCACCACCAGAATGGCAAAAGAATGTTTAACTAGATAGCCACACGAGGTGACAATTTAACAGTTACAAAATATTAACCCTTTCAAAGGAAAGGAAAGGAAAAGGAACTTAGAAGAGGCAAAAATAAATATACAGTAACATGATATACATAAACCAAATTACATCTATTTTTACCTAAAAAGATTCAGGCTAAATATTCCAAATAGAAAGACAGATATTATCAGACTGGACAAGAAACCTTCCATCAAATGCTCCTTAAAAGAGACACATGCAAAATTTAATCATCAGGAAAGTCTGAAAATAAAAAAAATGGCAAAATGTATACCTTCTCCACATTAACCTAAAGAAAGCTGGTATAACCACATCAGTAAAAGAAAAGGTACACTTTAAAGAATAAAACATTACAAGAGAAAGAGGGAGATTTCCTTATGATAACAGGTGCAATGCAATCAGAAGATATTAATACAAAATTCTAAATTTGTATGCATGTCCTAAAATAGAGCCAAAATATGCAAAGCAAGATCTAACAGAAATAGAGCATGGTCAAATTCAGAGTCACAGTGGGAAATTTTAACACAGCTCACTGAGTGATGCACAAAATGGCAGACAAAAACTCAGCTAGAGGGAGAAGGTTTCAAAATGTTACTTAAGTTAACAAATGTATTTAATTGACATAGAACAATGCACATAACAACCACTCATCGAACATTCCAGAATAGATCATATGCTGGGCAACAAAGCAAGCCTCAGTAAGCTTCTATGGACTAATACAATTTACCCTGACTAGTTAATGTATTATTCAGGGGTAATGGTGGGTTTTCTGCCCCTCCCCCACCTCGTATAAATCCAAGGGATATTAGTTTACACAATCCCACGCCCCACCTAGGTGACCCTCCCTACTCTCCAAATCCTACACCTGAGAAGATCACAGGACTTGTGCCTTTTTCTTAGCCAGGGGAAATAATTCACCTCAGCCATGGCCGTTTCCATAAGAGGGGAGGTTTTCCACATGGAATCAGGACGGGTGTGTCGGAGCCCACCTGGCCCATTTCCTCAAGAGAGTGGGAAATAGTGAGCCTGAGCCCTCTGCATGCCTTCTCTAAAGGGGGGTCAGCTTGTTGGGGGTCCTGTGGGTTGGGGTTAGGGAGGGAACCCAGAACCCCTCCTGCCCTGTGGGGATCTGAGGACAAGGTCTCATGCTGACCAACTCACCCATGGGGTGGCCTGAAGGCAGTGATCTGTCACCACCCTCCTCACAGGCTGCTCGTGAAGAGAATCTGTGGGTCTGGAGCTGGAGGTTTGGAGAATATCAGGAAGGGCTTCCGAAGAAGGAGAGTGCAAGCCCCAAACCACTTTGTCAGAGCCACACAAACAAGATGGAATCCTAACAGGAAGTCCCTTCCCCAAGGGCATAGAGGAGGAGAGCCCTGGGGGCCAGAGGAGACTTAACTTCCTGTAATTACTGCCCCCTGAGTTTGCTACCAGCCTAACACCCAGGGAACTCTCTCCAATTGTACCACCCTTGCAGAGGAGGCTATCTGGAATCAGGACGCTTAGGGGACCTTGGTACTTCCGGTTACAAACACAGGGAGCTCTGTATGCCAGACTCTGGATCAACTGCACTACATTGTGTTCCTTCGTTCGGCAAACCCAGAGAACTCTGTGTGCCAGCTGTAGGCCAGGCTCTGTACTTGCTACATTGCCTCTGTTCTTTCATGAATTCCTCACAAGGGGACTCTGATATCAGAATCACCAACTTTCCAAGGTTGCTGAGGCTTACTGAGGTGCTGGAGCTTGTCTAGGGTCATTCAGATGCTACCTGGGGAAACAGAGACTGGAATTGAGCTCCACGGAATGGAAGATGACTTCTCCAAGCATAGATTTACTAAGTTATTGCTGTAGTGTGGGAGATTGTCTTAAGTTAGTACAAAGTAACAGAATTTTCTGAAAATAGTCAAATGGCTGGAATTAACCTCAGCCCACCTCAGAGAGATAATACCAAAAAACAAAAAAAATCCAAACAACAAAGAACAGACCTGAAAACTATAAACGAAATAGCAATCAGAGTTTTGTGGGTCACTGTAATGACAGTAAAAGAAAACAAATCATGTATTTTCCTTTAAAAAAAAAAATGTCCTCAATGTAGATAGATACCTCTAGTGGTCAGAGCCGGAATTGTAGCTCTGAAAGTTCCAGACCAGAGAGGTTTCAAGGCAGAGGGAAGGAGAGAGGAGATTGGGCTCCAGTGCATCAGTTAGACATTTCTGGAATTTTCCACTACTGTCTGGAATTTCCCACCCCATGTCCACAATCCCTTCCTGGATATCTATGCCCTGAGAATAGTCCAGCCACTGAGAGAAGTGAAGAAAAATCTGCATATAAGTGTATGAACATTTGGGGGTAAAAGAAGTGTAAGACAGAAATGCACATACCACACAGATAAACTGTCAAGTCAAAAATGGAAATTTTGGGGCTTCCCTGGTGGCGCAGTGGTTGAGAGTCCGCCTGCCGATGCAGGGCACACGGGTTCGTGCCCCGGTCTGGGAAGATCCCACATGCCGCGGAGCGGCTGGGCCCGTGAGCCATGGCCGCTGAGCCTGCGTGTCTGGAGCCTGTGCTCCGCAACGGGAGAGGCCACACCCGTGAGAGGCCCTCATACCGCAAAAAAAAAAAAAAAAAAAAAAAATTGAAATTTTTTATTTTTTATGAAACTGTGTCATGTGAACTCTTTGATAACATGGTAAACATATGTGAACTTTTTTTTGTTAGTTGCTTATTAGATATTTTCGAGTGTTCCTCTCAACAAATTAGCCTAATCACAAAATATTAAACATTAAAAATGTATACTTAGAAAATAAAATCATTCTGCACCTTCCATCTACATGATCCCCTCGCCCTGACTCACAAATACCCAAGATATCCAATGTAAGAGGATTGGTGCACATTTTCCAGATGTGTTTCCCTTTAGGTGATGTGAATACCTAAATTAAAGCATTTGTGTAGTTATGTAGTTCTATACATATTCTTTTTAAATTTTGCAATTACATAAGTAATTTTATGCAAATTCATTTTTTCACTTTATTATGACATCTTCAGAGTTTCATTTCCTCAGTTAATAGTTTGTCATCTTTCCAGAGGTTATTGGAGAAGCATTTTGCTTCTTAGGCGAATTATTTGCAATTTTTTGTCCCTTTCTCTACTGATTAACAGAAATCATTTTGGTTCTTGCACATGAGTACAAAATCTGTAATAATGTTTGAAATGTTGTCTCCCAAATTTCCAGTCTTTTAGTTTTTTTCTTTTGACAGTACAGAAATTGCTTTAATTTTCATGGATTTTTTTACTTTAAAATAATGCAGCTATGACAGAAAAGAAAATGAGAAATACATAGGGTAGCATCAAATACTAGTCCACTGGGAATTCTAGTCCACTGGAAATTCTAGATTCAAAGCCTTGAGGGTGGGCTTCCCTGGTGGCGCAGTGGTTGAGAGTCTGCCTGCCGATGCAGGGGACACGTGTTCGTGCCCCGGTCCAGGAAGATCCTACATGCCGCGGAGCGGTTGGGCCCGTGAGCCACGGCCGCTGAGCCTGCGCGTCTGGAGCCTGTGCTCCGCAACGGGAGAGGCCACAACAGTGAGAGGCCCGTGTAACGCAAAAAGAAAAAAAAAAAAGAAGACGCACAGATGGCAAAGAGCAAATGACAGAATCACCTCACACCAGTCAGAATGGCCATCATCAAAAAATCTACAAACAAGGCTTCCCTGGTGGTGCAGTGGTTGAGAGTCCGCCTGCTGAGGCAGGGGACACAGGTTCGTGCCCTGGTCCGGGAAGATCCCACATGCCGTGGAGTGGCTGGGCCCGTGAGCCACGGCCGCTGAGCCTGCGCATCCAGAGCCTGTGCTCCGCAACCGGAGAGGCCACAACAGTGAAAGGCCTGCGTACCGCAAGAAAAAAAAAAAAAATCCTGGAGGGTTTCAGGGCACAATGGAAAAGGTCTTTAGACCAAAATCTACATTGATGAAGAATGGGGAAAATATTTGAACATATGTTTGCTTATAGGAGACACCATGTAAAGTGCTTCCGGCCTAAAATAATTCTGTAAGTCATCATTTTGTGGCAAATGAAGATTTTGTGGCAAATGAAGCATTAAGGGCAGCCCACGTACATTAAAACTAGTGGCAAAAGCATTTCTTCTGCCTCTCCCGCCCATGGAGGGGATCCCATGGAGGGGATCATTTTCTCCCTTCCATGGAGGTTAACTTTCCTCTGCTTCTACCTGGGCCCCACATGCCCAGCACACCCGCCCCCAGACAGTTCAATCCCTGTGGCACTCCAGGCTTAAGGGAGTGTATTGTATCTCCATCATGAACTTCCAAGACCAAGACATGGGTGAGAGGGTGGTTTGAGTACCCTATCTGCGTGGCATTGACACCAGGGGAATTCAAAACTGCATATGTGACCCAAAAAGCCTTTTATCTGTTACAAATTTATTTGAGAAATTGAAGGGAAGTTAGAAAAAGAAAACCTTGTCAATCCCAAACAAAAAGTTCACATAGAAAGGAATGCAAATTATAGGAAAAATATTTTATAGGCAAATGTTTAATATTCTCGTACATAAATAAATCTGATTAGTAAGAGTGTCTTTCAAAGTCTATTGAGAAAAATTAAGTAAGATCTATACATCACAAACATATAAAGATTAAGCAAGTAAAAAACAATTATAAATGTATGTAAGTGTGTACATATATGCGCATATGCACATATACATAAACATACATAACATGAGGAAAAGTGTATACATACTGTGAGCAAAATTTGGAAGAATATATATATCATGTAAACCTGTTTATATAGTACTGTACACAGAGAAATATACCTGGGGAATATAAACTGAACTATCAAGGATGTACATCTTACTCTGTAACAAGATGAAAATAATATAGAAAAATATTTTCTCTAATACACATTCTTGCACTTCACTAGTTTATAAAGATAGCAATTTGAAATCAGAAAAATAACTGATGTAAAATTTTATAGCATAGTAGTATATACCTGGTTGGGAATTTCACTACAAAAATAATAGGTGTGTGGATTAATGGTATATCTCTAAATCTATATGCTTTTTCACATTACTTTTGTCTCTCAATTACACACATATAGGTTGCCCATCATAGTTGGGAGGGAGAGGCAGAAGAAATGTTTTTGCCACTAGTTTTAATGTACGTGGGCTACCCTTAATGCTTCATTTGCCACAAAATCTTCCAGAAATGTCACTCTGAATGAGAACTTGCTCCCTCCATCCTTCCAAAGA